TTTTGTGACAATTCAAGAAAACAAATTGAGATGTAAATCCCGTTGTCAGACAAATATCAAACCAATCACTTTGGGATAAAAACCTGGAGAGCGAGTACATCAGTCAATATACAATTTCTACAAAACCATTTATTTTGCATAGATTTTCAAAAAAACACTCACTGAACTCCAACAAAGTACAAGTAAAAAAGTATTTGGTATTTAAAAGTATTTGTTTCTTCTATTGACCCCGTGCATGTGACGTTCCGGCCACGCCCACTCTCCATGACAGACGGCGGAAGTCTAACCACGAGCCTTCGGAAACTTTACCAAAACAACCTGTTTCAGTGAATTACAGCCACAACTGTGATATTTTGCAGTGCGGTTGGTTGTACTAACAGGCAGGGACATAAGCCAAATGTGTGTTTTTATCTGATACCTGCTCGTCATGAAGACAGAGAACGACGATCAACCAAAAGGACTGGGAGCCATCCAAGTACTCCCTGATATGCAGTGAACAATAAATCAATCACAAGTTTGTATTTATTCTTTTTACATTAATTTATTTGGAGGACGATGACAAAAAAAACGCTTGAAGTCAACCGTGTGCTCTTACTACTGTCCTGTAAGTGCGCTGCAACATTGAAATGTCCTCACTGTGGCACCAATAAAGGATCTCTTATCTGATCTTTCGTTTTTCACTGTTTTCCTCTCTGTCAATATGTTTCATGTTTGGCTATAGACAGAAAAGTGCATTGCTAATGTGCTAATGCTACCAGCAAAATGTACATTTAAATCTGCTCCAGTGTGAGGGGATGCATTATTAACGACATAATGACAAAGATCATGCGGGGTGAACTCGGGCAAAATTTGATATTTCATTTAATCAATAACATTGACTGGGGGAGAAGGTACGAGTCAACATCCAGCTCAGCCATCCTTAACTTCTCCAAACACCGCTCTTTGTGAGCCCTGACAAGACGTCCTGCTTTCACCGATCACGTAATCGAACATGTGCTTGAAGAAGCCACGTCTTGATTTCGGAGAGTCTCGGTTTTTAAGAGTTGTAGTCGGTTTTGCTTTCGCCGCAATGCTAGTTTTCACTACTTCCGACGCACAATCACGTGACTGGATGACGTCGATGCATCTGGTCAATACCAGACAATATCAGGTGGTTGACTGGTATGGAAGAACCATATACTTTTATTTCTACAAGAAGACAAGATGAATCTTTCCAAACCATTAAGATAGTCAATTTGCAAATGTGCCCTTTACCAAGTCTTTTTTTTAAAATGACAAATACATTTTAATGCCGAGGGTCTCACCCCTTCTTGATAACATTTTTGTAAATGTACTGCCAATAACAAAACATGTTGTAGCTGGAGGGAAATTAATTTTGTTTTAGCAAATGAACGCGTCTAACCTTGTTTACCTGCAGGTGGTCATCAATATTCCACAAATGAATGAATCTGCTCCAGTTCCTCTTGTTTACAGCCGGCGCAGTTCATAAGCTCAAATCAACATCCACTTTTTATCGTCTCCTAGTCATTTTTATTGCTTCCTAATTGCTCTTTGAGTAGTTATACAAGCCTGGTGTAATATCATGGAGATTAAAGACATAAAACACTAATACAGGTGCGACAGACAGTTTTTTCATTTCCTCTCTCATTACTCAACAAGAACACCATCATTCACGCCAGAACTATTTTTTTTAATTTTTTTACTGACTATACCAGCAGCCGCTCATGTTTGTAAACAAAACATTGAAAATCCCTAATGATTCTTTAAGCCACAACGGAAAGAACAATAAGAAAGGTTACAAATATCTGATTACTCAATTTTTGGTCAGGAGCCAAATATGATTCCCTCTGGCCTAATTCTTTAATCTTTATAAAGTTTTCAACCAGTCAAAGTCCAAGTCTTTGTGAATTCAGTTGAACTTGAAGTGGGTCAAAAAGGACAGTCAATATCACAAACGCCACTGTCAATAGTAGATAAAGACGACAAAGATGAAAGTATTTTAGCTTCAACGAGATTAACAACAAGTGTCATAATATAGATTAGAGTTATAATCATATGCCTATTGCTTCCCTAATATTTAGAATTTTATAGTTATCTGTATCTTGCATGATATTTTAAATCATCTATTAGTTAACAATTATTATTCTCAAATTACCGTAATCGTTTAGATTCAGATTCAGTTTATTTGCCATTTGCAGTAAAAAAACACATTGGAATACATTAGCAAAATGTCTCCAGTGTGCACAGACAAATACAGACATAAAACAACATTAAAAGACAAAAATAAAACAAATAAAACAGTAAACAAATTTCACTGTGAAATTGATCGACTAAAACAGTTTCAAAACAAGTGCAAATCATTAAAGTGCTCTGTTCACACTGATAACAGCTTGTGGATAAAAACTGTTAGCATAACGAGATGTCCTGCATCTCAGAGAGCGATATCTTCTGCCAGAGGGAAGAAGCTGGAACATGGCTTTTCCAGGGTGGCCAGAAGAGTCATTAACAAACCTAAGAGCTTTGTTTAAAAGTCTGGATTTATAAAGAACCTCCAGAACAGGAAGCTCAAAGCCCACGGTCCTCTTTGCAGAGCGGAGCACCTTGTTTAAAGCTCTCTTTTCTTTATCTGTGATGTTTCCAAACCACACAGACACAGAACCAACAAGTAAACTCTCAATGGTGCAGCGATAAAAGTTAAGCACAAAGTTAAGTACAGTTTAGTTGTTTAGCTCCTGACAAAAGCAAGTCAAATTTGGGATTTTTGAAAATACATTTTACAAAAACAAAGCGTCAGTGCTGCCCCTGGAGAACTTTGGGTTGTTTGATTAAAAATGCCAATTTCATTCTGTCGTTAAAGTCATTAAAGGCAAGGTATAGCACAGTTCATACACAAGGCAACTCAAAAGTTAGTAACATAACCTAACAAAAAAGAAACAACACAGGGCCTTCAAATCATAAATAATCACAGTCCATTATAGAATTTTCTGACTTGTAAAACCTCTTCCATCCACATTTAAGTCTATAATGTTTAAAAAATATCAGTTGATTGTTAAAACCCTTCGGAGCCATCCATCCATTGTCTTCCCCTTAATCCATTTCTGGGTCGGGGGGGGTGGCAGCCAGAGCTGCACCCAGTCCACAGAGCACCAGCCCCTCACTGATCCTCCTGCAGGTGGTGAGTCCACAGGAGCTGAGATCTTTCAGCGGGAGCTTCAGGCAAAGTGGGGTTAAGTGTCTTGCCCAAGGACACAACAACAGCAGTCTTCAGTGGGAGTCGTGAAGTAGGGCTTGAACCCACAACCTTCAGGCCCAAAGCCCAATGCTCTACCAACTGAGCTACTGTACAATCATTCTCAGGCTGCAGAGTTGCATACGTCACGTTGTGTCAATCCAAACAATCAAATGCACTTGATAAGGTCAAGAGTATGGATGCAGATTAGAGGAAACCTTGACAATGATATACTACAAATAGCTACTTAAGTATGTGAAACTCAACACTGGAACGAGTCTATCAGATTGAATGTTAAGTGTATTACAGCCCTGACCTCCACACACCTGTCCAACATCACACGCACACACATACAGACCAATGCTCTCTGATCATAGGGTCGACGGCCTCCATGAACCTTATCTCGCTTTGCCCAACGTGACCAACTCGTTTGTTTAGTTTGGGGCCATGTCACAAAACGCCCTCCACCCACGCACTAATAGATACATTATAGAAGTACAATTTCACCAGTTATTGCACAGAAAACACCATAAATCAAGTCAAATATGTTAAAAAAGACAACACATGACTCAAATAAACAATGGATTTAGTATGTGGTGTGACTTAAAATTGAGATGTATTCAGCAGTGGGTTTTTTGAAGCACGGTTGGGGATCTCTCACAGAAACGATTGAGACCTCCGCTTTTTCTTAAATCTTAATGCTCTATGTGAAAATCATTACGAGTTCAACTGAAGCATCATAGTGCCATGGAAACTGACCACTCAACACCCACATTTAGTGAAGAGGCTCCTGCAACTGTTGCTATTACTGCAGAATTTTCCACCGCCAGTACAAGGCCAATATGTGTCCACCAATCTAGAGAACTCAGAATAAAATCACATGAACCTGTATAAGATGCTATCAAAAGGATACCAAAAACAAACTTACACAGATGTTGGTATGCGTATTGTATTTTTGATATTGCTGCTATTAAATGCAATGCTGTGTCTATATAGTATTTTTTCTTGCATGTTTTGAATTTGCAATATATTTACTTAATGAAAGAGAAGAAAAATAACAGTGCACCAATCGTTATTCTTATTCCAGTCCAAGACTAAAAACACATGGAAATGCATTTCTAGCAACACTATCTTGAACTAGTAATGCAAAATATTCAAACAAAAAGCAATCAGTGGGTATAAGCATTATTACCAATCTATGTTTACTTACAGAGCGTGTCATTTTCTCATGTTGTGACCAAGAGTTCCAGTTTTCCCATAGCTTCCCAGTGCCAGTCTAAGCACCAAAGTAACCCAACCCAAAAAATGATTAAAATAATAATAATAACACAACAGTGCGTGCGGTTGTTCAAGTCACAACAGATTTGGTTTGATCTGATCCCAAAATATTTTTAGATTATGCCTTTAAAAAAAAAAGTGCAAGATTTCATGAGTTTGCCCTTAAAAGTCCTTACTACTAAAATACTGAGAGTGAACCAGTCTTACACCTCGAGTAAAGGAGACGCATGTGAGGAATACATGGAGGACAACAATGGACTACTCTCTCTCTCTGGAAGCTCTACAAAGCACATGGTCGTGACATCTGGATTGGCGCTCAATAAGAAAAGAGAAGCGTGTAGATCTGACAAAAGGGAAATGTTCTTTTTCTTGACGCTAAAGGATATTTCAATGTATAGTATGGTATGGCCGCAGGAGCACATATACAGTAAGCCATTTAATTAATAAAAAAAAGAAACAAAACAACTCATTCATAATACATGCAAAAGCTTACCGTACAGATCTTTCCTGGTTTCTTAAAGTCCACTGGTGATTGTTAATTGTTGGACACACGCTCAAATGGATCTCTCCAACCGCAGCGCACGTCTCTCTCGCCAAGTCAGGAGCTGAATTTGGGCTTTGAGGAACGCTGTGGACATTGTATTCCCCCCAGAAGCTGAACTGTGGGGGTCGTAGAGCTCGTAAGGTCCGCCTCTTTTGTCTTCACCCCTCCCCTGCCTCATCATACGGTAGCGCCGCAAGACTTTCCCATGTGTAGGGAGAGGACATCATGGATCTAGTAGTAGTAGTAGTAGTAGTAGTAGTAGTAGTAGTAGTAGTAGTAGTAGTAGTAGTAGTAGTAGTAGTAGTAGTAGTAGTAGTAGTAGTAGTAGTAGTAGCAGCAGCAGCAGCAGCAGCAGCAGCAGCAGCAGCAGCAGCAGTAGTAGAGGGGTAATAGTAGTAGTAGTTGTTGTTGTCTGCCACTGGTTGCACCTTTTGTTTTATAATTGAAAAACTGCTTTTTCACTTTTGTCACTTTTCATGTTTCTCATTATCTTGCACAAAAGATACCATATTTTTGCCTCCAACGTGCTTGTCTTTTTGCACACACTGAGTGATTCTATCAATGCCAAATGGGACATGTAAATGTATCCTTTGTAAGATCAATAAAGTGTATCTAATCTTACAAAGGCAATGCAGCACACGTAGGCTGTGCTTTAGTTTAAATTAAACTCTTTGGTTCCATAAAAAAATATAATCTTGTTTTTCCCAGCAGAATTAAAACGGTAAAGGTAAAATAAATCAGACCCCTAGCTGTCTTAATCAAAACACGGTTTTTTGTTTTTTTATTTTTTAACATTAGAAAGAGCGATGTGAGTCGCTATTTGACGCTTTGGGTTGAGAGCTGAATGGCCGAGTGAGGGTAGTTCTTTTTTTTTTAGATTTATTTTTTAAAAATCGGATCTAAACATGTGGCAGAAGCCACCCATGCTAATGACAGAATTATAATTAAGATTTATGTGTTAGGATTCAACCCTTGATCTTGTGACAGCCTCTGTCCCGCTGTGGCTCCTGGTGTTCCCAAAGTTCCCCCATCACAGTAATAGCCCCTATACCATGGTCAGCATCTGAGATCAGACTTATAAATGAAAGTATGGCGATAACTAGTGATAGAATGTAAGTTAAAATAAGTTCAGATTAATAGTTTAAAATTGATTATGAAAACTCATTTACTTAATAACATTTCAGATTATACCATGTGTCTCTCTACGTGTTGTCTCATTAACACAATAGAGTGTAAATACTGAACACCTAAAGTAAACCATAGTCTGCCACCATAGACTGTAATTGCCACTGATTGGATCTATGGCTACTGCCCCACCTAGAGTCCATAGAGCAAATTACATGGACAAAGGTGCACCTCATATACCTGCCCTGCATCCAAATTCAGCAAAGACACCTCCTTCCTCTTCCTTATCATTTTATAGACCTTTGTAGTATCCAATTTGACCCAAACATCTTTAAAAAGGTGGTACAATTCACTTGGCTGAAGCTGGAGCAACCCAAACTCATATAAAAGTCAGTTTATTGCATAAGGAAGGACAAGTCAGAAGATATTTTTGCTTAATTCGGACGCAGTCCCAGTTGAATGTACTCTAGAGTATCCATTGGTGTTTTTCTGTGCGTGTCCGGCTTTTTTTGTAGTTTTATTTAAATTGTAGAATGTGTTTTAATGGCGCAGAGGGGATTGGATTAAAACAAGCTTTTTTCCACGGCCAATCCCTTTGCAAACCTTGCACAGGTTTTCTTGTTTACTCGTATTATAATTTTGTCTGTGTATAATTGTTTACATATTTTGTACATTTTTGAAATAAATAAACAAATAAAGTGGGATAGTAACAAATTATATTCACAAGAGTTAATTAAGAATAAATACAAATACTCCAACCTTTTTATGAAAATTAGAAATATTTATAATGTTTAAAAAAAACTGTTGATACCTGTTACCATTTCCCTGTTTTTCTCAGCCACCAACATGTTAAACTGTCTGAAAAAAAAAACGCATTAGGCCTAAAGAAAAACTGATTATTGTCATTGGTCAAACTACAAATTAACTTTCCCTCAGACAGTCTTTTGCCCATTACTAATAATTGAATGTCCAAGGAACTCAAAGGATGTTGGGAGTTTATTTAAAAGTATTTTGCAAGCCAAGTTATTCCAGGGGTGCAGGACTGGACTCAGTGTGTGCCTACTATGATCGGGTTCTCTGCAGTAATATAATAATAAATGGAGCAGGGGAGAGCACATTGTTGTCGACAGGAGACAGGGCACACAGTTCAAACATATTTTTGTAACAGGAGGGGCAGAACATAATCCAAGTGAAGGGGATATCCAAAAAAATGGCTCCCACAGTTAAAACATTCAAGTGTTTACCACAATATCCTCTAAGCAGGATTTACTTATTCAATTGTGAGTGCATTAAGAAGTCAGTTTTTACAGATTTGTTTTAGGTGTTATTTCCCCTTTCCCCTGAATCTTCTTCGTCTGCACCATTGGACCGTCTCCCCGGCTGTGGGCTGTCTTTCTAATAACTGTTGTAGTATTTGGAAACATGAGTACTATTCTTTTCCCGCTTTATCTGTCATCATTATGACTTCAGCTGTATGTCTGTTCATTGCTTTTCACACCCAAAGCAGTTATTTTGACTGCTCCATTCTTTGTAAAGTACAATTCAAACATTGCCATTTTTGGTCACTTGACAACAAACTTCCTGAGGGCAGTTAAAGCAACTTTCCTCAAGGGACTGGTTCAGAGGATTCTCATCTCAGAGCAAGTGGTTTCCATACTATTTAAAACAGCTCTGCTTGTGTACAAGTCTCTCCATGGCCTCGGACCAAAGTACATTAGTGACATGTTATGAACCAGCCCAAACTCTGAGGAGCACAGGGACGGGACTCCTACTGGTGCCCAGAGTCCGAATTAAACATGGGGAGGCTACATTTCAGATTCATGGAGCAAAAATCTAGAGCAATCTTCCTGAAAGTGTGAGACAGGCTTCATCTGATAATGTTAAAATCCAGATTAAAAGCAGTTCTGTTTAGTCGTGCATACAGCAGGGATTTCTTTTTCTGTGATTATTTAATATTTTAATGCCTTGTGTCATCATTTCTATCATTTTTTTTGAGCACTTTGAGTTGCCTTGTGTATGAATTGTGCTATACAAATAAACTTGCCTTGCATATTTTTTCAAAATTGTAATGAGAGCCGTCAAAATAACTGCTCTGGGAGTTCTAATAAGGTTCGTAGACAGTAATTCATTTATAATTCAGTCTTAAAAACGAATGCAATAGACACTAGTTTGTGATAAATACATTTTTTTCATCTAACAATTATCTCATTGTGAAGAAATTCAATGTTTAAACATCAAATCACATTATCTTAAACCTGATGAAGTTAAACAGTTGAATATGAATATAATGCCCTATCATTTGAACATGCGTACTGAAGGGAGACTGTATCTGGACAGCATCAGGCTCCTGAGGCATACAACGCTGGCAACAAAGTTTTAGATTGTGATTCTTTCAAGTCATGACTTTTATTAAACCAGTAAGAGCACAACTACATATCGTTTTATGTTCCTACCTTCTATAAGTTGAAATATTTTAAAACACTGCATATCACTTTTTTATTTTCTGTACAAACATCTTTCATAAACTGTACACATTATGACACACAATGAATCCTCAATACCCAACTTGTTATGAAGGAACGATATGTACAAAAGGATAAATTATTCACAGGACAATGCCCAGGTACTGATTCAGACTCATTTAGAATATCACTCCAGTTCAGTGAATCGAGCAAACATGGCTTTCCGAACAGCATCCTTGTATGTATCAGACGGCGAGAGGGTGTAATTCGAACCTTTGATGCCAAGACCAGCTCCTTTGGTTCTCAATTGAGCCTGAAATCATGTAAAATGGGGGTCAACAAAATAAAAGGAGAACAGCGTTATAAAACCTACAGATGTTCTAATTGGTTATTTTTTTGTAAATGAGCTGAAAGGACAGGGTTGAGTTTTACTGTGGTAAATGCAGGATAAATAACAATGGATAAAAACAGTTTGTGGCAATGCAAGCGTGCTTACATCAAGGACAATACAAGTTCTTCCTAGTTAGAAAAGCGTAAGAAGTGGTGAGACGTACATCAAACAAATATGTCTTGCTTTATCGCCAAACACAATTTAATATGGTTGTAAGCATTAAAGTACCTCAATCGGAGCAGTGATTCCCTGTTGGTTTCTTCCAAGTCCTTTGCCTTCTTTCCATCCCATGGCCTGTAGCATTTTATTGCCAATATTATCACTGTTCAGCCCATCCTTTGTAGGCTGTTCATAGTTTCTGTGAAAAAAATAAAAAATAAATCTGAATTAACAAGAAGTTTAAAACTCAATTATTTCAGAATGAAAATCAATATTCACATTGGGGGGGCAGCTGGTTGGCTGAATTTCTTCTTTTTAGGTGCCGGAGGTTCAGGAATACCATATTTTTCTCTTCTCTCTGCTGCCCTGTCTCTGTATTTCATCTGTAAAAAAGAGTTGCACAATAAAAATACAGCTCAATACTCAATGATCAACACAAACAAATTAAAATGTAGGCATACCTCTGATTCCCTCCTCTCCAGTTCTTCTAGTTCAGCATCACTGAGTTTGGATCTTTGGAGGACCTCCAAGTTTTTCTGTAGCATTAAGAGTTAAAAGAATATATTTGAAACTGCAGCCATATTTAGAATTGAAGGTGGTCTTGATACCTTATGGAGATCAGAGAGTTGTTGATGCCGTAACAAACCCTCTTTATTAGGGAATTGTCTTCTACACAACAAACAGGCCATTTTCTTCCAGTCTGTAAGTTTATCTTGTGCTTCCCCAGCTTCAGAGTCTGCAGCTACTGCTCCTGCTTCTTCAGGGTCACTGTCGCCACTGTAAGCTGCCACCAAACCCTGTGTGCACAAAAAACAATATAGCCTGCCATATACTTAATTAAAATAAAAGCCATTGATGAAAATACATACTTTGCTGCTGTTCGTTGAGGCCATAGGGGCCTCTTCTTCATCTGGCATGAGTCTGTCCAAACCGCCCCCTTGCTATAAAAATAAATAACTTTGTCAAACGTGAATATACACGGCACACTATTGTTCTAAAGGTGCGTCATGTTCTTGGACACATGGAGTGGCATCCACTGGCATGTGAAACCACCTGATCCCGTCAGATTCTCAGGAGCTAAGCAGGGCATGGCCTTGTTACTACAGTGATGGGAGACCTCTATAGACTACCAGGTGCCAGAGTGGGATGCTTGAGGGTGTAAAGCGCTAATCTGCTGTGTTCATAGGCAAGACACATCATATTGTCTAGTACGAGTCTGATGTGAGCAGGAATGATTGGTGGTGGTTTGGTGGGGCCAGATAAGCCATCTAATCTGCCATTACAATGATAGTAAACTTACTACCACCATTAGTGACAATCGTATTTGTTGGATAATGTATCATTTTAAAGCTTATGTTCTCATCTATAAACAAGTGCAAGCAATACCAGACGTTATACTAAAAAGATAAAACATATGGGCACAACATTAAACCTTGTTTATTGCTTTCCTTGTTGTAGTTTAAAAACAAAATTCCCCAAAAAATGCTATTTATAAAAGGAAGTGTGACTTTTGTAAGTGCGATTTATAATCCGGAAAATTTGGTAATAAAATACAAGAAGCGTCTTAGAGTGACGTGAAGGGCTTAACTTACCTTCTTTTCAAACAGAGTGAAACCAGCATCTGCTGCGGCAGCCTCTCTCCGCTCTTCTTGACTTATTGGCTGAAAGCTGCTCTTGAAGTTCTCCTTCTGTTTGTTAAGACTTTTGGCCCACCGCTCCATGTCCTTAGCAATCTAAAAAAACAAAGAACAATATTACATATGATTATTACCCAGTAGATACTACATTCATACTTGCACAGCTTACCTGCTGAGCAGTCTTGCTCTTTGGTTTATCCTTTTTCTCTTTAGCTTCTTTAAGTTCCTTGTTGGCACTTGACGATTCACTAGCATTAGCATTAAGTTCAGCATTACAGTCAGCCGGGACATACGACTGCTTCTCATTGTCCCAGTACAAATACTGCTGGGTCTGGGAATTGTAGTAATACTAACAAAAAACAAATGTATAAATAATCACAATAATAAACTACTGCAGGTAGTGTATGTGTAATGCTTACTTGAGTATTTGGGTCATAGTAGAGGCCAGTTTGTGGGTCATAATAATACCCTGAAGACTCCTCGTACTGATAGGCAGATGTATCTGGAACTGACAAAACATATATACATTATCAAAAATGGAGTGATTGAGATTATGCCATAATCTCTTAATGATTTGTTTTTCTTCGTGAAGAATATTCAGTTACAATCCTGTATCAATTGATACAGCTACATGTATCATTAAAATATAAAATTATTTATGCTTGAAACAAAAATATGATTCCCCATCTTATATTTTGATTGGGCAATATACAATCCCATAATCCACTTATTATTAGGGGTGTGACGATACGCGTGGGAGACATCGCGATACTTTCTCCCGCGATTCAATTATCGATATGCATTTGCCAAGTATCGATAGATTTTGATAGATTTTTTTTTTTTTACAAATATTTTTTTCAAAATTGGAATCAATAGTCAATATATGGCTACACTACGCATCTCCATTCCATTAATCATGAAATAAATTGCATTTTTTCTTTTATTTATGCCATAAATTGGCATAGTATATTTCTGACCAATACATCGATAATCGTCTTATCGTTATCGTGAGCTTTGTATCGTATCGTGAGGTACCCTTAGGTTCCCACCCTTACTTATTATTAGGGGTGGGAACCTAAGGGTACCTCACGATACAATACAAAGCTCACGATAGCGATATTATCACGATATTACGATTATCGATATATTGGTCAGAAATATACAATATGCCAATTTATGGCATAAATAAAAGAAAAAATAAACTTTATTTCATGATAAATGGAATGGAGATGCGTAATGTAGCCATATATTAAGTATTGATACCAATTTTTTTTTTTTTAATTAAAAAATTTAAAAATACGTTTTTTTTTTCATAATCGATATTGATACTTGGCAAATGCATATCGATAATCGAATCGCGGGAGAAAGTATCGCAATATATTGAAAAATCGATATATCGTCACACCCCTACTTATTATGTAAACAAAAAAATGTTTTAATTAAATGTTTAGTCTATCCCAAATCATCTATATTTTTTTGAATGCAACAGATGCGATATAGTTTAGTTGTGGGGTTGCCTATATTGCATTGCCGAAACTTTCTCCCACGATCGATTATCGATATGCATTTGCCAAGTATCGATTTATCTATTTTTTTCAATTATTTTTTATTTTAAATTAGTATCAATTCTTAATATATGGCTAGATTACACATCTCCATTCCATTTATCATGAAATAAAGTGTATTTTTTCCACTAAACATTTTTCTATTTTATGTATGCCATTTACTGGCATATGGTATATTGCTGACCAATATATTGATAATCGTAATATCGTGATATAATCGTTATCGTGAGCTTTGTATCACAGATCGTATCGCAAGGCACCCTTAGGTTCCCACCCCAATGATAATGACATCTTCTCAGTTGCCGTTGAGAAGCTCTCTGGCCAAAATCGTAAATATCCAGTGTTACAACTTTCCTCTCAAATTTGTTTAAGTAAACGGCATCGGACTCACTCGTGCAGTGGCTTAAAGGCGCTATACCCGTTTCTGCAATGTTTGAATGTTTAGCACCGCCCCCCAACTCGCTCAATGGCTTCTCATTTCCCCTACGCTCTCATCCCACGGAGCCACCTAGTTTTATTTGCGATCTGATACGTATGCTAACATTAGCATTAGAGCAACTTCTTGTAAGCTGTGCAACAATCACTGATGAAATGGCACTAAAGCAACGCACTGCTAACACAATATATAAGTAAAAGAATACCGCTAGTTATGCGTCCGAATGTATTAATTTAAAACATTAGAATATATTATAATATTTAATTATAATTTATTATACAGCTCCTCACAACAGCAGAACACTCCATTGACTTGAATGCAATTCTTCCGATCATTTTTTTCTTGATAACAGAACTCTCAAATCAATAATGACCGCAGCCCCGATGCAATCTCTGTTTGTAATTCAGGTGTGTAAAATACTGCCGTTACTCTGCAAGTACAAGAAGCTATCAGCGCCTGTCACTACACACTTGTCTGTGTAGAGAAGCTAGCAGAGCTAGCTGAGCTAGCCACGCTCAAACAACAAATACATCTCTATCAATCAACACCATTAAACGTCAATCGGACAATATAGTACACATATACATCCTTAACACACATGCACGGACGATTTCAGAATTTGCTGTCAACGTTTTCATGACAAAAATACTTTAATGTGACAAAAAGCGATTGCAAAAAACCCGGAAGTTACCATGAAACAGCTAGCTAGCTTAGCTGTTACCTGCCTAGCACGTCCCGGTGAAACCTTTGGGAGCTAACTACTTTATTTGCAGTCATTAAATACATTTCGAATCATAAGGGTTGTCTAATATTTGTTTGAATATATATATATATATATATTTTTTTTTATTTTAGAATTATATTCGAATTTTGAAGTCGAAGCCCTGGTGTTAAGCAGCGCTGTAGGGGCTAGAGGACGCAGACTGTTCGCTCCTTGTTCTGTGAGTAGATGAGAACGAGCGTCCCGCTAAGACTCTACTCAGCACTTTTCACTGCTTGTAATTCTTACACAGCTGAATCAATTACCTCAAGTTTTCAATTAAATGATGTATTATGATACAACTTATATGTAGTAAAAAGCATTTTTTCGAATTACTTAGAAAAAAAATCTGGTATAGCTTCTTTAATAAAGTGCCCCATTTTGAAAAGCTCTGGGCATTGAGTCAATGAAAACGTTACTCATAGCAACACCGCACTAAAGTTTGAAGAGGTAAAGCCTTTGTGTTTCAGCTCTCTCACCGGTGGTCATCTGTGTGGCGCTCATGAGCGCGGCGTTTGCACCTGCAGGCGGAGCCATAGCTTCTGCACCATAGTGCGCCAACTGCTGATGGTTGTCTAGCTGTTGGGCAAAAGGAAATGCCTGCAATTTATGAGCAATTGATTTAATGATTGTCTGTTTAGGTTTATCAAACCATGATCAATCGCTAAACAATCACATTAGTATGATGTCATTTCTTACCTGTACAGCAGGTTGAGTAATTATGTGTGGTTGGTAAACTTGAGGAGATTGTGAAATAACCACACCAGGTGCTGTTGGAACCATATTGACAGCCGGAGCTACGGAATTAAATAAATGCTTTAAAACCGTTTTTTGGGTTCCCAATACAAAAAAAAATACCATTAGTAAAATTGTACTTCCAAGACACACCTCCTAAGATTCCATTTCCTTGAGAAGTACTCGGTACTGCCGCCTGATGGTAAAATGCTTGATAGTCCTACAGAACAAACAAGAACAGCACTTAAAACATTTTAATCATGTTTGAAATGTTAATTTCCTGCATACCTGGGATTCATAACCTTCTTGTAAATAGCTGTACTCCGACATACCATCTGAGCTTTGCTGTGGCTAAAAAAAATAGAAAGTATTTGTAAACAGAACAGAACAGTTTTTTTCCTTCATAAAACAATCCAAATACCTGACTAGACCACTGGGCTGCAGCAATTGCAGTACTGGCAACAGAAAAGGCACTGACACGATTTCCATCTGGTAGCAAAAGTTCCCTGGTGTAAAAGAATAGTTTCAGTTACAGTCAAATATTTTACAAAATTATAATTCCAATATCCGTACAGAACTCACTTTCTCGCACTTTTGGCATAATCAACACCTATTGTTTTTCCATCAAGTTTGAGAGGTGGCTGCAAGCCTTGTAATATAGTTAAGAGCTGAGACGCTTCCTGCAGTGACGAGAATAAATTAGCCAAAAGACTTAATAAGAAACAGAGTGTTAGGGGAGAGGGGTGTACCAGAGGTGAGGACAGCTGTACAAAGGCAAAGCCTCGGTTTTGGCCCGTCTGCTTGTCCTTGATGAGGCGAATGTTGTTTGAAGACAGATTGGCATAAGGTGCAACCGCGGAAATTATGTCTTCAATAGATGTGAGCGGGGCAATATTTCTCAAGATGAGGGCTGTGTGAGATGGAGAAAGATGGACAGGTCACATAAATTTGATACAACACAGTGAAATTTGATACAAGCACTTTTAAGAGATAAGTTCTTACTGTCGCCATAAAAATCGAGAGTTGGTGGATTTTCAGCAGCACCAGAATTCTCACCATCTGTTGAGACAGTGCATATTCAATATCAGCACACATGCAAAAATTACTGACCCCATTGACTTTTAGTGTACACAAAATGTTCCTACTTTACTCAGACCTACACCTATTCTAAATTTTTATATACTATAAAAGATCAAATTAATTTCCAGTGTTGTTTTTTAGCATACAAACAGCAGGTCTACTGCATTTGTGCTATTAAGATTCAAGTGTAATTTATACATGTTGCCTCTGTGTTGCTCAGGAGGCGGCAGTCTCTTGGATTTGGCCTCTTGGATTTGACAACTTACCAGCTTTGGTTGCTCCACACCTGAAGCACTTCAGCCTCCTCCGGAAATTGTACAGGCCACACTGCAAGTAACCGTTCACATAATTTTGATTATTCACCTTCTAAACCTGTGTGCTGCCTCAGAAGACGCAAACCATACTTACCTACAACACAACCTAACCTTTACTATGACACAAACAGCACTAACAGCAGAAACGGCTGCAAACATGTGGTGCTAGGCTAGCTTTTTTTTCTGTAGCTGCATGAAATCTGTTGCGTGTATATTACATAATTGCATATGTCAAAATGTGTAATGTGGAAATACAGGAGAACAACTTACAGCGTTACAAAGCCAATCTTCATACTTGTTCCTGGGGTTACTGTAGTTCATATCCACAGTTTTTCCTTGAAGGATTAGACGATTCTGTGAAAATGAAACAAGCATCAATTAAATGGTCTTATTGTGTGGTTATTCATTTGAGCAGTCAGTTTTGGAAGGGAAAGCATGGGGAGGGACCCCACCGAATAGCCTTTGTGTTTAAAAACAAACACATGTTGTACGTGTGTGTGGGCAACATGTATAGAACATCTTAAAATGTGTTTGGGACCCAAGTGCACCAGACAGAGCTGGAGCGAAGTGTATAATGTGATTATGTAAAACCAGGATATGCTTACCAAAAAACAAAGTAAGAGCTAGTGATATTTGTAGCAGATGGTAACAACAATTTGCTTTCTTCCTTGATTCAATGGCTATAAACTCCTTGTTTACTAATCACTAAATGTGTGACTTTTCAATGTCTACACTGTTCACTGTATTGGAAACAGGAGAAATCACATTCTGGTTGCCGTTTGGGTTTTTTTCTAGATCCCCAAGGTTGTAACTAAACTTGGCGATTGTGAAGCAACCTGATTGGTCTCCATCCATCGAGTAGCATCTTGCAAGTGATAAAAGTCCACGAAGGCGAAACCACGGCTTATACCTAGAGACAGCATTCAAATATAGACGGGAGGCGTGTTAGTTAAGAGGTCCATGGGTATAAATGCAAACTGTTCCACAAACTGCTTCCCAACCCAGGCCTTGTGGGGTTAACACTCAGCCATTTGAGTTTATTATAGCTTGGATTCCTACATATGCTAAAAGCACATGTGTTGGATCTGTCTCCTGCTCGGTACCTACCGTCACATGATAAGAATACATCTTTTTCCAAGCAAAGACTCGGTATTACATCAAATAAAAGTGCTATGAGAAAGGGTTTGTATGGAAGCAGGTTGGCCTTATGGTCAGAGTCTACAGGTGGAGAAGAAGAGTCCTGTGAATCCATGTCCTCACCTGTGTTTTTCTTCATCAACCGAACATCCACAGGCTGGGGTCCCTCCAACTGATCAAGAGCCATACGGATCTAAAAATAATATGTATGTAAATCTTGAATATAAAATCCTTCACAGGGACATTTGAAGCCTAAAGAGGTGAAAAATACATACATCTTCTTCGCTGACAGTGAAAGAGAGACCCCAGAGCATGATTGTTTTACTTTTCTTGTCCTCTCCAGGTTCCCTTCTATAGTCCTGATCTGGGTAGTCTCCGTCAGAGTGATAGCCATCTTCTGATCTGTCACTGTTGCGGCGTTTCCTTTCTCGTGGCTAAAAAAAAGAAGAAGATGAGCAGTTAGGTCAACTGAAATGACTTGACATTTAATCGAAGGAAAGGTTGAGCACCTTTTAACATGTAGATATTAGTTAACAATTCTAGAATTGTACTTCCTGGTTACCCGATCAAATAGGACATGCTTATTTATAAATTGTGCTATATAAATCATAAGAGAACTTATCAAGTACGTCCAACTAATCCGTTTTTGTGATTAAGTAATCAGTAACTGCTCTGTCCTGTTTGAGTTTACAACAATGGATGTAGGATGTGGTAACTTTCTACAAACTACTAATAGATTTAAAAATTGAATAAATATATGTTCAACACAGGTGCCTTTAATAATATTTCCGACATAATTCATATGCACTGCAATACACACCTCAGGACTCTCTCTCGAACTGCGGCGGTCCCCTTCATAGCGATCACTTCGACGATCGTCAGCCCAGCGTCGGCCTTCCCTCTCCTGATCTCGGTCTCGTCTGTTCCGCCAGTCAGTATCATTTCGTGACTGTTCTGACCCATATCTGCCACTGCGTTCCGTCCGACGTATCCTATTGAGAGTTAAAAAATAAGGCCTATCGAAACAAATGACGTGTCGTGATCGCTACCAAATAGCGAGAAGAGAGATTACAGCACAGGCTGTATAAAAATACTAATACAATCGATACATGTCAGAGGCCAATCGTAGTTATACAAAACAATAAGCATGAATTACAATGGATATGGGTGCTTCAACTTACCTTTTATCGGCTCCCATTTCTCTGCAGTTTTGTCAATGCAGGCACTGTATGGAAAATAACAAAGGAGATATTAGCAGAGATTAACAGAATTCTGGATAAATATTACCAAAAAAACAAACACAGCTGTAACAAGATATTCAAACAATAAAACGAAGCGTGAGGTTGTGTCTGAAGATGCGCCCAGCTAAGCTAGCATAGCATAGCCCGATGTTATATAGTAGATCCATGACATAGCCTAGCTGTGAGCCTAGCATACAGACACCAAAAGCAGAAACGTATCTTTTTGAACGGCGTTTTCTGATTATCTTTTAAATTAGGCAGCTCACCAGGACTTCCACTTAGCCAGATACAAAATCACGTAATTAGATGCACTCGTAACCTGTATGTTTATATGAAACAATCCTCACGTCAAAGAACAATCGACAAGACAAGCTTCTCTATCCCAGGATGCAACGGTGCTCGGTGGAATGTGTGACGATCACAAAAACACTATTTCCGGATATTGACCTCGCAGGAATCAGTTTGAGTTACAAGTTATTATTATATATATAAATCAATGAATACAATTTCCTTGAGTTGCACGGGAAAAATATCCATGTGCATATATGAATCCATTTGTATTTGTGTAATGAATAGTATTTCTAACCTTCAGAAAGACAATTCTCTGGGTATATTTTCATTTAGCATTTAAAGCTTTGGCAGATTTGAATGTTCGTTTTGTGCAAATCACTAAGGTTGTTATGTGGTCAGTTTCTGGTAATTTGAGTCATTGATTGTTGTGTACACAATACCTACAGTAAAATGCCAGGACCAATACATTTTATATATTTATTATTTCGTCAGTATTACAACAATTACCATAACAATGTACAAGAAAATCCATATTAGGGATGAAAATTACACAATTAAATCTTGGCACTCAGAAACAAAGTTTTGTTAAAATCCATGATGAGATAGTAGCAAATTATTGGCAACAGTGTAATTGACAATTAAACAATTGTAATTCACCATGCCACACAATCTGAACAAAATTCTTATACCAATGTTTAATAAAACAAAACACATGTCTTGATAAATATAAAAATGGTCAAAACAGTCTCAGGAGCAACACATCTGGAATCCATCATACTTAAATCGAGTATGAGGTTGGGGTTGAATTGGAGAGAGGGCAGTGGCTTCCTGCATTGTGCAGCTTATGTCAGGGTCTCACCCTTTGTTACCTGTGAAAAATAAATATTGTAATGCATTATGTACAAAAGTATGCTATATATCTAGTTAGATGTAGGCGCAGTAAAATACTGACTCGAGCTTCTATGTATTCAATCCTCCTTTCCAGCGCTGTGAGCTTCTCGTTGAGGGTCGCCAGGCGAGATCGGCAGGACATATCTGAGGATCAAAACGTCATCGTAAATACATTAAACATAAATGTAAAGGTTTTTGGCGCATGTATTAACGTAACTTTTAAGTAGCAATGCCAATAGAATTGGTAACATGCATTTATTGTTTATAGTTTAAGGATTACATTTATAAAAACACTGTAACGGGAAGTGATCGGGATAAATAGCATTGACGCTAGCTAGCTAGCATGTTAGCGTTTACATGACCACAAGACACACTATTCGTACTTGTCTTCGATTAAACGTACATGAATACGTTTTGCAACAGTACATAAAAGTTGATAAGTCAACCAATCCTATATAATGCCATTAAAATATGCATAGTTTAGTGTTTATCCAAAGCTAGATGGGAGTGTCCTGTATTTCTCATAGCACTGGCAAGCTACTCACAGCTAGCGATGTATAGCATCACTGTGCAAGTCATATCGATTTCTAACCAAATTAAAATAAGACTATTACCAAAAGAATTAAGAAAGTCCGCGATCTTCTTAATGCTGCTGGTTATAACTTCAATGTACTCTCGATTTGCCCAGTCTTGGTGGATCTCTCTCTGCACTGGATCCTCCTGACCAGCCATGTTGAAAGCGTCAGTCAGGAAGCAGCTGAGCCGGAGCTAGTGCACAGATGTGCAGGAGTCAGGACATGAGCCAAATTTGTCTCTTTTCAGTCCCCTGAATAAAACAATCTCAAATCTCAGTGTGACTGCCCCGGTTAAATAATGATACATTAAACAAAAAACTATCACGTAATTTTATTTTGTTTATTCAACTATACATTTACAAACGGATAGAGCCAAATAAAAAGTGTGTTAACGTTTTATTGAACATATATTTTTATACTATCCCATAAATATGTATATACTTACAACACAGGTCAACATTTGTCTTCTTACATACATCCGAGGCTCTTTGTACAAATGGTTTAAAAGAACATCTTCATTGAGTAAACAAACAAAGTAATTCACTCTGCTGAAAATATAATATTTCTGAGATAATTTTGTCATGTAGCAGTGATGTAGTAGAATGCAAAAAAAAACCACTTAAAAATACAATATAGAAATCTACTGGAAGCTTTTCAGCAGCTCTTGAATGTCTGCCTCAATGTTAATGGTGAGAAAGTTACGGCTGTAGCGCTTGTAGGGTTCGCCATCAGGACCAACAAGAAACTTTTCAAAATTCCAGGACACATCATTTCTTTTGACGGGGCTCCAGATGATGGACTTTGGGTCATTCATAAGAGCCATGGAGTCATCGGACGGAAAAGGAAGTTTTTCTTTCAAATAGACAAACAATGGGTGGGCATCTTTGCCATTAACATCCACCTTCTCGAGAAGTTGGAACTTTGGCTCAAACCAATTTCCAGGACGGACATACTTCAAAGAGCGCAATATTTCATCATTCTTGCAGTTCTCCTTAAAGTAAACACAATATTTTAGCACATTTATTTGGCAAAATGTGTACAAATCATAATTTTCTTGCAGTCAAAAAAGAGTTTCAAGTGCATCACAATTCATTCTATCTAGAGCTTCTTAGTAATCATGCAATCTATTCATGTTACATTTTAGACATATGCATACATTTGTGTGTGAAATAGAATTGTAATTGTTCTTTTATTATATTGTTTTATTTGAATTTCAGTCCATCCATCTATATCTTGGTGGTGGTGGCTGGTGGTGTGGAGGGGCAGTGGACCCATGTCATAGTGGCGTTCTGTGGACACGCAATCAGGAATGACCTCACTGTCTAGAATCCATTTGGACATACAAAAGAGTATGAATTGAAAATAAAATATGAAAAAAAAAAAATATATATATATATGTGTAAAAGAACAAAAATTAAAGAAAGTATCTTCTGCCTGAAGGTGGAGCTAGGACAGTCACGGTGGTGATAATCGGCTCTATCCAAGGTAAAGAAACTGTAGAATTAATCAAATGCCTTTTCATTTGAAATAATAAAACAATGGGTATGAATGATCAGTGAGGCTGTTGCTCATGGTGTAGTTGGAGCCTGCTGTGCGTTGGACTATTGTTCCTCTGCATGATTGGTCTACTGCTGTGGCGGCTGCTTCTTGTGACTGGAGTTGGCCTGAGTTGGGGCGCTGGGCCTTGCTGGGGCACAGTGATCACTGTTACAGATGTAACTTTATAAAAGTATTAAATCGCACTGAACACGAGAAATTATTATTAAGGTATTATTTATTCAATGCTAAATAACAACATTCTTGCATGTTTTTGAATTATGTTTATGGGGTGGGAGTCGACAAGTTTTTACTTCCTTCCCACTCCATTTCGAGCTGACAAATTGTAAATAGAGGTTCATTTGTGTATTGATATTGCGATGTATAACACATGGTGTAACTAGGGAAACTATTGTTGCTTGATTGTATAGTTTGTTTATATATTTCTATGTATAAGTATAAACTGTAAGCACAGCAGGCAACATGTATGTATAAAGAATCATCTAAGGAATGTAAATATTGTAAATACTTATGATTGTAAAATTTCTGCTCGAATGAATAAAAAATCAATCAATCAATCAATCTTGCATTTTATTACCATCACTTGGAACATTGCTGAGGTTGGTAAATGAGCTGATCAAATTAAATACATTATTAAATGCATTTTTCGAAAATGGATCAATATATCAACAATAGGGTTGTATTCAACAATGATTTCTGATGAATTATTTAATTATTTCAATTAATTGATTAGTTATGTTGACCCCTGTCAGTAAATATAGGATTTTTTTTTTTAACATTTTACCAAAATAAATCATTATGGTCTACACCTTTGTAAACAGACTTGTCACTAGTACTATGTGAAAGGTTTTAATAAAGCAGGTATGAATTGATATAGCTTTACAGGTTTGAAGAGTCACAGTGACTCAGCAAAATGTCACACACATAATTCAACAGACATGTGCAGTTAGTGTCATCTTGATAACAGCTTTATTATAACAGTATTATTGGCTTATTTTGCATTCTTAAAACAACAACCTCAAGACATGAAAACACTTGAATAACTTTTAAGAGTTTGTTAAAGCCTACCTGGTGTCCAAACTGGTTGCAGGGGACACCCAAAATGACGAGTCCTTTGTGGCTGTAGCGGGAGTGGAGCTCGTTCATTTGGGTGTAATCCCTGCTCGTTGTTCCTCAAAGAGACGCCACATTTTCTATCAGCACAGCTTTACCTTTCAGCGCAGAAAACGCCAAGGCTTCTCCAGACAGCAATTTGGCTGTAATATCATAAAATCTCTTCACTGCCCCGGACATGGCCGACGTTTTTGTTTTGATACAGAACTTGAAGACAATTTGAAGACAGGAATGGACACTTTTCAAACTATCAAGGTCCAGATCTTGAATGGGAGGGTCAAAATAACTAATAAACTTGGACTGAACCATATGGAGATACGCACGGGGTTTTGATCTGCAACAACAACAATAATATAAATGACTACACAAATAATAAAGACTAATTATATTTTATTTTTCATATAATAACACGTATTAACATGCATTAGATCAAAGTGTTTAACATTCTTATAATCCAAAAACAAAACTGTAACCAAACACTTCTAGCCACCGCATTGTCCTTCTATAGTGGTACATTCCAGGAAGTGCTTTATTTTCTTTTTACTATTCTGTCAATGCTTTTTATGCATTAACTATTATAACACATGGATTTGAACTGTTTTTAATCACAGTAATATCTAGAAATATATTTGGCAATAAATGCATCAAAACAAAAGTACACGATGTCCACAAGATAACGAGGTGGGAAACAGTAGCGTTAGATTTTTCTTACAATGCCAGACTGGCTCTGTCTGTGTGCCATAGGCTTTGTATTCAGTAGTTTGATGTTTATTGTTTTCTTGATTTACTCTGGACTTCTCTCGGAAGTAGTAGTATTAACTGGATCCGCTCCAATAAAGAAGATAACCGTTGTTTACAAGTTTATTCAAGGACCATACGAGAACTGCAGCCGTGTTTTTAAGGAATGCCGCATTATTGGACCAAATCTACCATGTGTCGGAGTGTTTTATGACGATCCTAAAAAGGTAAACACCAGAAACTTCTAAACTATTTAAATAATATTCATTCAATTGTAATGTAGACAATAATTTTTCAGGCTGTTCAACCACTAGATGGCAGTATATACGTCGTTTTGACTTGAGTGGATTCTCGTCATATTCTCTTTGAACAATTAGGTTTAACTCTGTGAAGTTACCGCATATAAAGTAATGTAAATGTCGTTATTCTTTTTTTAAATGTTATATATATATATAGATTGATTTTTTGTTCGTTCGAGCAGAAATTTTACAATCATAAGTATATACAATATTTACCGTCCTTAGTTTATATGACCCTTTATATATGTTGCCTTCTGTGCCCTAGTTTCACTATGTGTTGTATATCTACAATATCAATATGTATTTACAAAAGAACCTCTATTTACAATTTGTCTGCTCGAAATGGAGAGGGAAGGAAGTAAAAACTTGTAGACTCCCATAGCATAAACATAATTCAAATACATGCAATAATTTTATTATTTAGCAGTGAATAAATAGTACCTTAAAATAATAATTTGTCGTCCATCCATCCATCCATTTTCTTCCCCTTAATCCATTTCTGGGTCGGGGGGGTGGCAGTCAGAGCTGCACCCAGTCACAGAGCACCAGTCCCTCCCTGATCCTCCTGCAGGTGGTGAGTCCACAGGAGCTGAGATCTTTCAGTGGGAGCTTCAGGCAAAGTGGGGTTGAGTGTCTTGCCCAAGGACACAACGACAGCAGTCATCAGTGGGAGTCGTGAAGTAGGTCTTGAGGTGGGCTCGAACCCACGACCTTCAGGCTCAAAGGCCAATGCTAATTTGTCGTGTTAAGTGCAATTTAATACTTTAATAAAGCTAGATCTGAAACAATGATCACAGTGCCCAAGCAAGGCCCAGCGCCCCAACCCAGGCCAGTTGCAGTCACAAGAAGCTGCTACACATGACAGTAGAGCAATCATGCAGAAGGCTGATGGTCCAACACACAGGCTCCAACGACACCATGAGCAACCACCTCACTGGTCATTCATATCATTGTTTCATTCTTTCAGATGAAAAGGCATTTAATCAATTCTACAGAGTTTCTTTACCTTGGATAGAGCCGATTATCAGCACCAATGTCCTAGCTCCACCTTCAGGCAGAAGATACTTTCTTTAATTTTTTAAAATACATTTTTGTTTTACAGTTTTTTTACAGTAGCTCAGTTGGTAGAGCATTGGCATTAGAGCCTGAAGGTCGTGGGTTCGAGCCCACCGTACGACCTACTTCACAACTCCCACTGATGACTGCTGTCGTTGTGTCCTTGGGACACAACGACACTTAACCCTACTTTGCCCAAAGCCCCAACTGAAAGATCTCAGCTCCTGTGGACTCACCACCTGCAGGAGGATCAGTGAGGGGCTGGTGCTCTGTGTACTGGGTGCAGCTCTGACTGCCACCCCCCTGACCCAGAAATGGATTAAGAGGAAGAAAATGGATGGATGGATGGACATTTTTGTTTTTAATTTGTTATAGTTTTTTAAATTCTTATTTTCTTTTTGTTTCATAATCTTTTGTATATCAAAATGCAATCAGACAGTGAGGTCATTCCTCATTGCGTTTCCACAGAACACCACCATAACCCGAGTAAGTTATTCCACATATCTAACTATGCAATTTGTTCAACTCTCGAGTGCTCAATGTTTGGTATAGGTGTAACATAATGATAGAGCTCTGACATGTAGAAAAGTTGTATTTAGCCTCAATTAATCATGTTTTTTTTTTGTGACATGAGCAAGAAGTTATGGGTTAGAGTTGATTCCCTAGCTTAAGCCATCAAAATTTGTGTTGCCGTGTTGCTGATCCTTTCCCAGTCTGCGGTGTAATTAGAGCCATCGGTTTTCGGAGTCACAGCCAAATGTGATCTTAGTTAAACTAATTGGTGTAATGACCCTAGCTCACTACAGCCCGGTCCTCATGCCATTCAGTTGTCAGTAGTTTCCATAGTGAGAGGAGAGCATGGTCTGATTGAAGTTGCTGACAGATTTAAAAGTCTAGTCTGTAAAATATAACGGCAAAACTTACTCCCATTTGCTCCCATGAATTCAGCGATTCAAAATTTCTATGGTTCCTTCGGATCTATAATAAGCTACTGTCTAAAAGGGTCTAAATGAGGCAGGGCCAGTGAAGTTAGGAAAAGTCATCAAAATTCAGCTTGAACAATATTAATAGAGGGTATTTTTTTGATCACTGTGGCATGTTGATTTGACCATGGGCGGCACAAGGGTTTTTAATGACACCTGCCCACACCAGGACACCCTTCTGAGTCGGAGGGCCTACAAGGATTAATATTTTGCAGGCCCCCTCTCAGAGAGGTTGTCTAGCTATTCATACTCCTAATTTATATATATTATTTATTCTCACCCCTTTTCATTTGACAGATGTCTTTCAAATGTTACACTTTACTTACAGTTTGACACAGGCTTGGGTTTGAAAATGTGAACTTTGATCAGAAAATTGCCTAATTCTATAGCTATACAGCACACACTTTTTTCCTTCACCACTTTTACCCCCTATAACCACATCTTCTGCAGAAACAAAAGACCTCAATAGGACTTGACTTGGTCCTGAGTTGGTTGCTATGGATACTCGGCTGGAGCACCCTCTTTGTCTCTTTGTTTTTTCTCAAAGAGTAAAAACACTTCTGTAAATGTCTGCGTGTGGTTTCAAAGCAGAGGGATTCTCTGACCTGTTTGGCCGCACAGCTTTCCCACCACCTCCTGAAGTTTCTCTCTGTCTTCTTCTCACAGTGGCTCCAGTTCAGATAATCGCTGCATGGTGGGCCGCTGGAGGCTGGCTGCATGTGTTTTTCCTTTTAGGTCTTCCTGTTACAGCCTCGCGCATCAGTTCACCTCCACACTGAGAAGTGCTGAGAGGTCAACATCTTTAGAAGCTATGCTTAGCTTTGTTCTTTCTGACAAATGTTTAGGCTTTTTATTCATTGTTTTTAAAATGGTCACACTGAACTTCATAGAAACTCTTATAAAGTGTGTCTTAATGGAAATGGAAATCTTGGACTCAAGGAAGAATATTTTCTCCACTGTGGGATGAATAAAGGAATATCTTATCTTATATGCTTTTTTTCCATAATCAAAATACTATTTGGGATCAAATAGTAGTGAAATGTCTATGTTTTAAACCGAACTGAGTGACATTACATACAAGAAGCAGGTATTGCCACCAGGACTGTTGAGGAATGCACCTTTTACATGTTTTTTAGATACATTTCAAGTTTATCACCACCCTTTTTGCGAATATTAAGATATCAATTTTCTTTCGCTTTAACCGTTGCTGGGGCAAGGGGGTGGCCGTCTCTGCAGAGATGCCCAGACTTCTCTATCCACACACACCTAATGTTAATCGAGAGCTTTGTCTTTCCACTCATCTCCCTCTCCATCACAACGGTTGGATACAGCGACCACATCACTGCCCATGATGCACCTATCTGCCCGTCAATCTCACGCTCCATGTTTCCCTCACTCTTGAACAAGAACTCGAGATACTTGAACTCTGCAAACTGTCCCAGTGCATGCTCAAGGTCCTGGTTTGTTGGAGCCAACAGCACAACATTGTCTGCACACAGCAGCAATGAAATCCTGTAGTCTCCAAACCCGGCTCTTATTATTTCATTGTTTTAGACTTAACCTGATTTGGGCTAATTCTTGAAGCCATTATCCAATACATTTTCTCAAATTATCATTATTGACTCCCAAAAGACTTGACATTCCTACTTTTTGTATTTTATGCTGAAGTGCAGTTATGTTTTTTTGGTTATTGTTCGCAGCTTACCCTGTTTTCCCCACAGAAATGCGCCATAAATGACATATTGGCACATTTCTATTTTAGTCAAATTTGGGCTCTCCTCTCCAACAGCCCGTTAGTGAAACTTCAAAAGGTTGCACAGAAGTGCCTTGAAGAACACAGAAGAAAGCAACACAAAGATGGTGGAGAGATAGTGAAGACATGGGCAGTGCTTTTGGGCATTGCTTTGTTCTGCACTCCCTGCATGGACGCTGTGATGACTAATACATCTATACCAGGCTTTGGCATCCTGCTTTGAGTGTCTAAAAACAACCCAAAAGTATTTCAATATCCCCATGTCACATGCAATAAGCGTGAACCAAAAACCTTCATTATGATGACACCCTCTGTTCAGAGTTCTGAACTCTGAACATTGTAAAGTGCTTTGGGTGACCTTGGTCTGTAAAATGTGCTATATAAATATACATTACTTACTTACTTACTTTCTTACAACAAAATGAAGATATATTTGATATAATTTACTGTAGTTTTAGTGATACTGAAATCTATGCATGTATTCATTTGAATGGGACTTGTTTGGGGATGCATAACCGACACACAAAAAACATGGTATTGACAGAGTACAGAATATGAAGGAGAGTATTTATATTGTTTGTGTTTCAACCAGCCAGTAAAAAGAATATTGTCCTACTGTTGTGGCTGGCTCAGGGCCGGCCATAACAAATTGGGAGGCGAAACAGGGGTAAAAAGTGCAAAAAAGCATAACTATAACAAAGACAAGTATAACAGCTAACAAAAAGAATGTATGAGATATGAGTATGTAATTATCAGTAGTGTGATACAGGTGTATGAGTGCAATGAAAGCCAGTGCGTGAATGTGGTGCATAAATCAAAAGACAAACTCAAATGTACAAAGAAGGATTGGGCATAGTGGCTCCCAGCAGAGCCCACCAGCACAGGTTTAAGACAGAAAGCCAAACTGGAGAGAGTGAGCAGCTTTTAGCCACAGGCTGAAGAGCGTCTCCTGATGAGGGGTGTGGCATGGTGCAGGTGAACACCTGCACAGAGAGGGCAGGCAAATAGCACAGCACCCTCTCCTGGACAATAAGGGCATGCCTGTAACGCTACGAAAATGTTTCGTTCTGGGATCAAATTGTTTATTAGCATATAACTCACTAATTTGTTTTAATTGAAAAAAAAAAAAATCCAATAAAATATTTAGTCAAACTTTGGGGCACTACTGGCGTACACAGTGCTGGTTTAAGGAACAAATTGGGCTCCTCTGTCTTATCTATTACATGAAGAAAGCTTGGTTCTTAGCTCAGCACAGTGGGGACAGTGTCTCCAATGTCCCTAAAGTATTCATTTGTAATAGTGTTTTTCCAGTTTTAATGGGCACTGGGCTGTTGAGGATGGAGGAAGCAGGAATAATGGCTGAGCTGCCAAATGCTCCAATTAGGGGCACAATTAAAGTGCAGATTTCCTTTTTAACAAAGTGAATATAGAACATATTCACATCCTACTAGAGTTATATTTCCAATCCAAAGGGGTTATTAGTAATGAGATGTTAAAATGCCATAATGTCAATGTGCGATGTTGGTGAAGAAAACTGGAGGCAGAGCATGCAGGCACATACAGACAACTATTCAGGCTAACATTTCAAGCTGTTCTTCATCATATAAAAAGACCCAGGACTGGACAGGGATGCTCATTGAAGTGGACAAGGGCATACACACACTTGCTAGTCTACCCCAGTGATGGCTAAAGAAATGTGAATTATTAACATTATGGTTCTTCAAGAAGCTTGTCAATATTTGTTTTGTTTTTTTTCCAAATAAAAGGAATTAAGAGTTAAACCATTTCTAGGAATAGACAGGAGTGCACAGCAAGCTAAAAGTATTGACAATCAATATCTTGCCTAACGTTTCCCCCTTTATTGTTTTGCAGGTGTCCGGGCAGGATTGCCGCTGTGCCGTTGGAAGTATTGTGACTGAAGGAGAGAACAAAACATCAGAGGATCTACTGCAGAAATACAAAACGTCTGGATTCAGCGTCTTCTCCTTTCCAGAAGTTACTCATGTGGTCACTGCGACTTTTCCCCATCGAACATGTCTCTCAACTGTCCTTGGGGTCAGAAGAGTCTACCCACAACTGTCACAATACATCAAGGTATGTGGTTTGAATTATTACAAATCAAAAATCATAACAAATATAACAAATATAACATAATATGACTGGATTTGCCATATCTTTGGGATTTCGCTCACAGTTAATTTTACACATGGGATATTTGTAGAGCTAGTTATGTTTTTGTGGCTCATAATGATTTGTTTGTATTAGTTTTGATCCACTCTTGTTGAAGCCTGGGAAAGGCTTTTTGTGCAGAGGTGTGCATACTTAAGTTTGGTATCTTCCTTATTTGTATTTTGAATCATAAGCTTAAATGACTGAGTATCATTTTCATATCTCAGGTATCATCATGACTCAAACTCTCTTTGTTCACGCTTGGATTTCAGTAGTTGTGTATTTCTCAACATAAGCTATAGGTCTCTGAATAGGGTTCTGCCATAGACTGTACATAATAACGACGTAGTCTCGCCTATCTCCGCTGTTGAAACTAATGTGCCATCACTTGTGCCTTCTATGGGGCTTTTTCGGGCAGCCCCTCCCACAGGAAAATGTGAAAAAATGCATTTGCACTTTCGTTAGCCGGCACCAGCCCCTTTCATTTAAAAAGTGCCTTCCTAATTCCACCGCGGCTAAACTAGAGTGGTCCAAAAAAATACTCCCCTCAGCATTGACACGCAGATGGAACGTAGCTTTGGGCCAAAAGACAACTTTTGGACCATAAAGCCGTTTTCGAGAGGAAAGAAGACGCCATACAAAAGCATTGGATAATTCTCTTCCTGGGTCCACCCCCACTGGGTAGGAGTGGTATTGCAAGTATGTCAGCGTATGTGCTCATGGACATTTTTGAGCCAGGACTTGCCACCACTGGAACCTGAGCATATTGTCTACCATGACACTGTATCCATCAATGTCACTTTTTTTTGTTTTCTTTTAGTCAGCCCTATTCAGTTCTACATTTTCTGTTGGGATGTTGGTGTTTCTCCAGCTTTGGACTTTTCCATCTCATGGCCACTAGTGTTTTTTTTGTTGTATTTTGCTTAAAAAACCTTTTGCTGCATGCTTTTGAGCAAAAAAAACCTATGCCTATTTTTGTGTCTGCCAATTATCAATAATATTCTCTGGTGAACGCGACACAAGCGTTGAGGAGAAGAGTGATACCTTGAGCACAAAGCAGGTGATGAGCAAATAATGATTGTTAAGAGTCTGTGTCCAGTGAGTCAAAGTGCTTTCCTTCTATGTGAGTGGTTGTTAATGCCGTTTTAAGCACAATCCTTCCTGACAAAAGCACATACATCAGTGGTGCAAAATTCCAAGTAGACGATAACATTTAATGACCTGACCTGATTGACACCATTGGCTGTAAGATAGCGAGTGATATCAATTGCTGCAGTCAGGCTAACCTTAGGAGATAATCATACTAACTTCAGGAGATAATCATACTAACTTCAGGAGATAATCATGCAAACATCATACAAAAGTCATATAAAATGTGATGTGACATTTTGATATGTTTTATGTCCAACTTTTCAATAAGGACTGTAGCTCACGATGGCGAATGAGCTTTGGTTCTTTGACACTCAGGGGCTTCTGGGAAAGTGAGTCAGTGTGATAAACGGTGACTAGATTTACTATATTTATGCAGCGCTCCAAAGCAGGTGTTGGCTCCACAAGTTTCCTCCTCAGAGCTGCAGGAGAGGTGGGCTTTTGGGGCTGTCTGCTGCCTCTGCCATCTGCCTGGACCTGCTTCATTCCTGGCTCTTCTCCACTGGCACTTGGCCCCAAAGAGGTCACTGTCTGAGCCATGGAACAGACCAGCAGGCTCCCCCACCACCCGGACACACATTCAAGTCACTGTGTTGGATTTGGTGTAAAAGCGTTGTGCCGCAGTGATTTTGAGATTTATGGTCGAGTGGAGGTACACCTGTTCAAATATTAATTAACACCGAAAGCTAATTAGCCAGTCAGATGGTGGAAACCGAGGGAGGAGGCGTCTAGTTGTATATGTATGTTACAAAGTAGTTTCAGGCGAGTAAGGAAAGGCATGGCAAGGCAAGGTTTATTTTCAAAATGTTTATGAAATAACAGCTAGTGAAAGATCCCCTCACAATTATTTTAGTATTATGAAAAAGTTGATACCACCGCCACTACTACTACTACTACTACTACTACTACTACTGCTGCTACTGCTTTTAACATATTTGTGTGTTGTGCAACCGGTTATATTTTTTTTAGTTTAAGGCTGAAATGATTCATATTCAAATGTTTTTGCTTTGCTTTTTAACTCTTTTGCATGTACAGTATATGTTATTGTGTCTGTATTGCACACAAAACTAATCACAACACATACTCCTACTGAAATTAACATTAGCATTTTATTTCACACTCTCACTTCTTTAAACTATGAATCATCTCTGATAAGCGTGCAAGGATGCTGGGTTTAAAGTAAAACAAGTTCATAAATGACTTAATTATTTGATGTAACCTCCGATAGTCTCACTGAAATTCCTAATTACCGCTCAAAATAGCAGCATGCTCTACATCCCTCACAAATATTCATCCTGCACCACTTTTTTTTTTTGGTAACGGAAACCAATGCACCCGGAATCGAACCCAGGACCTTCTTGCTGTGATCTAGAAATACTCACCACTGTGCCACCATGTCACACATTGCAAAAAACCAATTTCCAACGGTTCTGACATGACTTAACTTTTTCTCAATCTGCAGATAAAAATCAAATAATTTAATAGAGTAAATAATTGGTTATCAAAATAATCGTTTTTTTTACAGCCATCTGTTTGTCCATTTCAACATTTTTAGTTATGGAATTGTGGGGATGAGAGCAGAACTGTGCAGGGTAAAAATAAACTGTCCTCAGTAGAGAAAATGCTATATTTTTGATGTTTGTCCAATCTAAGTAAAAACTAATTGCAGATTTTTATCCATACCTGAATGTAATTGGACCATAATCTGACCAATTCAATCATAATGATATAAAAACTGTAAGCTAGTTTATTTTCTCAGTTTTGCACAAGAATTCAGCTTCTCGAGAGAATGCTGTTTTCGTTTGAAGCCACAAGAGGTTTGATACTGTAGCTGTGTTTACACTTTTAAGCAAACACATTGATTTTGCATTCACAGCTGTTTCCAGTATGCGTTCGCTCAGGGTGGATACCCATTGGTGTTCTTTAGTGTTTTATACAAAGGCGGTGGAGCTCTTCTGTTTTTGAACACAGCTGTAGTTTCTCAGATTTCAGAGCATGAGGGATGTGAGGATCCCCAGTGATGTCAAGCTCTGGCATTTGAGCGGAATCAGATTGCGGGAAAAAAGCTGTTCCTGCAGCTTCATTGAACAGTCTTTGTCCCGAATTTGAAGAGTATTAATCACTTCATCATACAAGATGTCTACTTTCATTGGGCTTATTAACAACAAGAAAAAATACAATATTTTAATAATTAAATTATACAGTATATCCCTATACTATATTTGACCAAAAGTGCAAAAAAAGATCTTGTAAAGTTGTGAAAAAGGAAATGCAGTACTTCTTTGGACCATAAGTGCAACATATAAACTGCACCAGCAATGTTTTAAAATAAAGCATTTTTTCTCCACTTATAATTTTTTCTCTACTTATGTAATATAGCGACAGCTAATGGAGCAAGACAATGTTTTGATTGATTGATTTGATTTATTTCAAGCTTATAAACAGGAATCCATTATAGAATTTACAGTAAATTGTGTGTGAATTTACATACATGTGTGTGTATGTGTGTGTGTGTGTATACACAAACACATACATACACACACACATACGTACGCACATACGTACATATACGCTTCCTTTTTCACATTTATTTTAACTAGACACATGATTTAATGACGGTGTTTAAATGCACATCTATTTTGACCATAAACATGCAAACATCATGAGTAATGTTTGCATGTTCTCTCCGTGTCTGTGTAGATTTTCTCCAGTTGTCTCCCCAACCACTAAAAACATGAACGAGTGGGTGCATGGATGTTGATGGCAGGACACTTTAATGCAATATGTGTTCGGCGTCTCACTTCTGTCATCACAGTGTGTGGTGTGATCTTGGTCTATGATTTGAGGGACAAATGAAAAAACATATGTACTTACCTATTTACTAAACAATTAAATGAAGGTTTGGGATGTCAAAACAATAATTGCTTACTATAATAACTATTCGATACATTTATAACACACACGCACGCGCGCCCTAAAAAAAAAAAGAATAATTAATGCACATTTTTTATTTTAGCACGGTATTATCCTCATGTTTTAGTTCCATCTGTGAGCCCCAGGCAATCATTAAAAAAACAACAAGAAAAAAACAGATTCAGTCTCCAATTTAATTTAATTAAATTTGAGAGAAGGTTTAAATCGGTAGCTCTGATATATGCAGGTAAAGAATCTATCATCAACAACACAAAAATCAAATTGGGTTTAGGTATATAATGATCCTTTAGCTCTATATGAAGCTGTGGAAGAGCTGCGCGCATGCATGGAATCTACAGACTGGGACCTTTTCAGAGCTGCCACAGACAGCTTGGATGAATATACGGACACTGTGACGTCATACATCCACTTCTGTGAGGATAGCATCATTCCAACAAGGACCAGGGTCATCTATAACAACGACAAACCCTGGTTCACTGCTAAACTCCGGCAGCTCAGGAAAGCAAAGGAGTCTGCTTTCAGGGAGGGGGACCGCAGCGGCTACAAAGCAGCTAAATATCAGTTCAGGAAAGAACTGAAAGCAGCCAAGTCCCGGCACAGAGAACGACTACAGGAGCAGTTTGGTAACAACGATACTGCTTCTGTCTGGAGGGGCCTACGGGAGATCACCAACTACAAACCCAAAGCCCCCCCCTGTGCTGATGACCACAAGCTAGCTGACGATCTGAACTTATTTTTCAGTCGCTTTGATGCTGCTGCCCCTGACACCTCTCCCTCCCCCACCCCCCACTACTCTAACGACCCACCCATCAGCCCTGCCCCCAGCCTAACAATAGCCGCTA